GCTTAAGATGATCATACAGCTCAAAGTCCTTCTTCATCTACAACAATCTCATTCGTGGAACCTTATATTCAAAGTCACATCCTTTCAATCTCAATACATTGCATAAACAAAAAGTGCTGTTATGCCATTCAACTGAGAATCTGAATTAATTAACAACAATAACTTCCTCGCCCAAACTGTTAATACAAATTCAATGATAACCTATACTACGAACTATAGATGAGTTAAGCAAGTCATTTCTCCTTATCATGTGGTTGCATCTGGCAAGATTTTGATTCAAACACATGTCCTCTAGGTCAAGGGCACGGTCTTCACAAACCATTCCTAAGCGGCTCTCAGAAACACATTCAAAAGTATTAATCGACTTCCAGAAGAGTATTATTTACACACATTCCCAAGGTGATAATAGGAAAGATACGCCTAATTTGAGCAGATGCTTTTGGCAGAGCTAAAGCATTTGTGGTGCTTTGCTCTGCATTATTAACCAGTATCCACCAATCTGCACGTTCTTTCTCCATATCTGTTGCCTCACTTAGTATCAATTGTCTTAATTATAGGGGAAGGATCCTGGCATATCCTTGTCTCAGTATGCCTGTAATTATCTTTTGGATCCATGCTTGAGCCTGAATACAGAACAAAGCAATAGAGGTATCGTTGTCTAATTGACAACTGCCTTTTGGACTCACGCTCCACACATCAGTGTTAATGATTCCAGTTGGATCTTCTGATAAATCAAATTCACATTTAACACTAACATGGTTACCTCAATCTCTACACATCATTAGGATACCTTCTTTGGTGATGTTGGCTCCCATCATGTGAATCAGTGACCATGGGTTCAATCTCCACTCAACTCTGGTCATGATACTTGGTCCCCCTGGGATGGTTTCCTGGCTCACCGGAAGGATGGCTGTAGTCAAGTATCTTTCAATATCCATGACGGGCTCCTACAGCTCAGGATCTTGAGGTGTCTATACATGGGTTTCAGGGGTGAGGGAGTGCTTTAATTAGAGTGGCTCTGAGAGCCACTCTAATTAAAATGTGCAGGGCGTCTCATGTGTCAGCATCCCTGTACTTCAAAATGGTGGCAGGGCACTTTATCTAAAGCTCATTTGATGATCTTGAGATAAGTGCCCCCACTGCCATTTTGAAGCACGGGGATAATGATACACAAGACGCAGAGGCTGGCTGGAGCACATTATTGCCAGGCTCCAGTAGACTCAATTCATAAAGTCTGCTCTGACACACCATAATTACAGAGCATCGGAGCAGCCTCTGCGTTCACGTATAGTCACCCTTGCAGTTCAGACTCCTGCAGCACAGCCTTTTTCCTGATGCTCGGCCATCTCCAGTGGCCTCCTCTTTGCACCAGTGCCAGATAACATGGTGTCAGCAGCATTAACCATATAATCATCACCTGCAATCACAATACATAATTGTTAAGATACAGCAGCACCTTATTGTGAATCGTTGTCACCTTTCCACACTTTTAACGGCAAATTGTGAAACCACTTGTATATCTCCTTTTGTTCTGTTCTTCCGGATTTTGACACAATATACTGTGGGAGTAGCTTTATTGACCGTGTATACTGGCCCTAACCACACAGGGGAGAATACATGCTTTTTCTCTGAAAACGTGCGATACAGTACTTTATCCCCTATTTCCCACTCAACTGGATTCTTCATGTAATCGAAATATCTATCCGTACGGATAGCATTCTGCCCTATTGCACTGGCCATTTGCAGCTGTACCTTCCTCACTGTTTCTAATAGAGTCTGTACCCATTGATCATTCACTACCTTGGGTTGCCAATCACTTGCAATGTCATGGTCAACCCACCAGTGCTCCAGTAAGTGCATTTCACACCCTCTCATGGCCTCATGGGGCAATATCCTATGGCTGGCTATTATTCCTCAAAGGGTGTGAGGCCCGTCCTGAAAAGGTTTCTGGGAGGAGGCCAAATTGACACCCTGAAGTGGGGGTCAGCATGGCAGAACCTGGGGCCACGGGACACTGACTTAATGCATCTGCTGATCTGCCGAAAATAAAAAAAGGGAACTACTTCGGGGAGGACAAGGCGGAGGACCCGATAACGGAGGTAGTCTCGCCACCCTGGACGCAGGGTGGGGTTCCCGAAACCCATCAGGTAATAACATAGGACAGGGTGAGGAGCGCCTTTCCTCCAGCCCGACACGCTAGCGGCTTAGTGGCATGTAGCGATAAGGATAAAACTAATTTGCTGTATGTGTGTGTACCTTACAATAAATTGGTACTTGAGTTTCACCTTGGCGTGTGACTTGTGGGTTACTCACCTTCACTCTCTGGGAAGGGAGGGAGCCCCCTCAAATGGCCATTAAAATAAGAGGTATTTTTTCATCTCAGTTAGTTCCTTGTTGACTTGCTACTTTCTGAAGGGTTGTTTTCAAAGTGCAATTGCTTCTTTCCATGAATCCAGAACTTCAGGGGTGACTGGGGACATTCAACCTTTGCTTATTAAAGGCTTTGCATATTTCTTTAGTGATGTTACCCAGGAAGTGTAGCTACTTTCTCTTCCCAGCACTGAGAGATGAGAAAAGTGATGGTCATTTTCAAGAACAGTTGTTATATGGTGCCAGTGTAAAACTCCTGGAAAAGCAGCTCCCCATGGTTGGAAGAGTAGCACAATACATAGTAACTAGGCCTCCTAGATGGCTCCCACTTAGGTATGTCCCATATAAGAACAGTGACATCATAACTCCACTTAAAAGAAAAATCACAGCAACATAAAAATAAGCAGGGTCTCCTAATCCTTCACAGCTGTCAATAGGACTAAGCCCTTCTCCTCTGTTTAAAATCCAGCATGTCTTGGTCTGACTACCAAGAAAATCCATTACTCCCATGTATATAAAGTACCAGCTGGCTAGGACCTCACCTCTGGGTAAAGGTGGAACCTTTTTAATGTGTTAATTCCCAGAGTTGGTCTAATAAAAGGTATCAGATTTACCCAAAGAGCCTTGTCTGCCTTAATCACCAGCAGGTATTCAGTTAATTTGTCACTCATAATCTCCCACACTCCATTTGAAAAAGACAGTGCCTCAATAAGGGTCTTGAAATAGAAATAATAAAGACCCACCCACTGCTTGGCAGCAGTGTCAAGAGTGACACTGCTGCCAAGCAACCTGGTGGCTCTCAGCTCGCTCAGGCTGTCACAGGCTTATATATATATATATATATATATATATAAGCCTGAGGCACGTGCAAAGGATGTCAGTACAGCAAGGCAGTCCTCTCGCCATCACCACCCCCCTCCCAGGTCACCCCGAATCCTCTTCCTCGTGACAAGCCAGGATAAAAGACCCTTATAAGTCCCTTATGGATAATTCCCTGCAGATGCTTTCAAGGCGGCTTGGCTCTGCTGAGGCAAAGACCTGGGGGCTTTCATGTGTGTCCCAGCCCCTTTCTGATGCTGCAGATAAGCACTTGCAAAATCCCAGCTGGTTCCCATCCCTCTGGCTGCCACCTGGGCGGGGGGGGGGACCTAAATCCCAGCTCATTCCCAGCCCTCTGGCTGCCACCCGGTTGGGGGACCTTGTGGGCAGGGCTGGAGGGAGCATGGGTGGGTGGGTGCCTGCAGCGCCTGCTTTATTGTTCTGGAGCAAAGAGGTCTAATTACATGGTGGGTTTTTTACAACCCCTTCCTAGGCTGGGGATTTCCTGCCGTTAAACCCCCCCCCCAGGACTTTTGTGCTCAAAGCCTGGGACCCAAACCTATCATTTGCAAAGGATAAACATCCTGGTTTGGAGCTCACAAAGGTGAGGCTCTGCACCGTTGAGAAGAGGCGCTGGGTCCCCGAAGGGGGCACTTGCTTGGAGCTGCTGGGCCCAGGACCAGAGGAGGCTGCTTCGCCTGGCTCCAGGCACAGAAGGTACCGTGTCCCTAGGGGCTAGCAGCAGGCCTGGCTTGGGGCTGGGGTCTTTTGCTGCATGCTGTAAGCACAATATTCTTCAGGGGCTGGGTGGGGGAATGGATCCCAAAGGAAACAGGCTGGGGTAGAAGGAGGCGAGCAAAGGTCCTGGGCTGAGACAAGAAGACCCATCCTGGAGGGTCGGTGCCATCTGAGGCGTGGGCGACAGCCTGACAGTGGGGAGCTGAGAATTAAGACCAAGGTGGGGGTACCCTTGTGCTGAACAAAACAGGGATTTCTGTCCTGGCCCTTCTTTGACCCCATTCATCCCCATCCATTACACAGATAGGGAGAGGAGGGAGCATGAGCATCGTGTTAGAGATGGGGAAACTGAGGCACAGCAAGGGCAGGGACATGGTTAAGGTCTCCCAGGGAGCCAGTGTCAGAGCTGGGGCCAAAGGCGGAGAGCACATGTGGACGGAGCATGGGGCGCTTTCCCTCTTTCACGCCAGCCCCCCTTGTGATGGCATAAGCAGAGGGTGGGAGGGAGGCACGGGGGGCTGTGGGCGCAGGGGCAGCTCCCCTCTGGCAGCACGTAGGAGGCTGGGACCTGGTGGGCGGTGGATGGAGCTGCAGGCCGTCTCTGCCAGCCGGGAGCTCAGCATTGGCCACTACGCAGGAAACAAAGGGGTGTCAGGTCTGTCTAGAAAGGATGCGGGGAAACTGAGGCACGGCAAGGACATTGAGGGGAATTTAAGGCAAGTGGAGGGGTGGGGGTGGAAATTGCTTGGGGTCAGATGAAAGCTCTGTTCAACCCCAGACAAGTCAGTTGGGGCAGACCCCCAAGCACTAAATCAGTGACTCCCCCTTGTCCCGGTGCCAAGGGGCTAGGACACATGGACTGATTGATTAGATTTCTGTGCCGCCCTACAAGGCTCGGGGCGGCTGGCTTCTGAATCGCTTCTCAGGGGAATAAAATAGGTGAGATGGTCTGTAACACCCAAAGTTACCGAAGTTTTTTGCATGCAGCCTGTGCGCATGCTCCAGGTGCTTCCCGGACAGCCCCCTGCATCGGTAACCCCATGGCCTGTGTCCTCTTGCTCCTGCAGCGCCCCATGGCTGCCCTACTGCCTCTCGCCCTGCTGCTCCCCAGCTGTGCCTGGGCCCTGGCCGCCCCGTTCCCCTTCCCCGCGGGCTCCCGGCGCAGCAGCTGCAAGCCGATCCCCCGCGGCATGGCGCTGTGCCACGGCGTGGGCTACACCGAGATGCGGCTCCCCAACCTGCTGGGCCACGACAGCATGAAGGAAGCCCTGCAGCAAGCGTCCTCGTGGGCACCGCTGCTCTCCAAGAACTGTCATGGGGACACCAAGAAGTTCCTGTGCTCCCTCTTTGCTCCCGTCTGCCTCAGCGAGCTTGGGGAGCCCGTCTCGCCCTGCCGGGTTCTCTGCGAGGAGGTGCGGGATGGCTGCGCCCCGGTCATGGCCGCCTTCGGCTTCCCTTGGCCCGACATGTTCAACTGCAGCCGGTTCCCGCAGGGTGATGAGCTGTGCGTGCCGCCCGCCGGCCCCGGGGACAGGCCCTCGCTGCTGAAAGAAGGTGAGCTGGGGAAACCTGGGGGGTGACATCTCCCACCCGGCTGGGGGATGTTGCTCGGGATGGTCCATACCCCCCCACCCAGCCCTCACTCCATTTTGGGGGTCCCCTGAGTCTGGGCTTGGTTAATGGGGTCTCCTGGGGCTGGTTCTTTGCTTGTGCAAGACATAGCTGCCCTCCCCGCTGCCTCCGCGTCTCCCCTCCACCGGGCCAGCGTAGCCTGGAAATGCAGAACAGCTGTGCTGTGGCTGCAGAGACGCCCCCTGTGTGTGGACCTCCCCCTCCGGGATCTCAGGACCCTCTGGTTTCCCCAGGCCTTGGGCTATCCCCCTGCCCAGCAGGAGCCCAGGGTATAGTGGCACCCCCACAGCAAGTGGGGAGCTGCAGGAAGGGTTACTGATCCTCCCTGACTCATTTCCAGTCATTACATCTATTGGATTTCTGCTCCCTTGATGGGTGATTAAATCACCTTCTGACTGACTCAAGTGTTTTGCAGACCAGGAACAATTCGGATTGCCCTTAATTCAATCAGAGGTGACCCGCCAGTGGTTGGTGCTGGGTTGTTCTCACCCCTGGAGGGCTTTCCTAATGGGTTTTCTTTTCCCTTGCAAATATCCATTCCCTGTGATTTCTCCAGCCACTTGTGTGGTTTGAGACTTGCCTGAAGCCACCCAGGTGCTGCCTCCTTTACCAGTGAAGTCTTTTCTCCCAAGTGTTTTGCAGACATTTGAGTCATTTGGAAACAAATATGTGACGCCAAGAGATTGTACCAGCCTGAATTAAACCCATCTCAGTTCTCTCTGGCTGGCTCTTCAGTCATCTGAAAAGTCTCCTAGGCCAGTGGTTTTCAACCTTTATTCATTTGTGGACCCCTAAAAATATTTTGAATGGAGGTGTGGACCCCTTTGAATCGTAAGTGTGGGTTTTCACATCCTTTTGATTGATCATAGTCATCTTTTGCGGACCCCTTACACGTAGTCTGTGGACCCCCAGGGGTGCATGGACCACACGTTGGAAACCACTGGTCTAGGAAAACCAGGAGGGGCAGACCTGATTTCTAACTGCTGCGAACCACGCAAACTTTCCCCTGCTCCTTGCTATGATTTCTCCCTTCTGGCTCTTAGCATTGCTGTTCCTTTCTCTGCCAGATGCTGTCTGCTCAGCCTGTGTCAGCTTCGGGCAAAATGAGAAGGAGTTTCTGGAAAACTTCTGCAGTCAGGACTTCGGTGAGGCCTTTGTGTCAGGTTGGTGGGTCTGGGGGCAGCGCTGCAGGGAGCTGGCTTGAGCCAAGGGATAGAGCCAGGCAGTCCTTGTTCATGCAGCACCTGGGCTGCACGCTGGGGGAAAAGAAAACCCATGAGCAGGGAGGATGGAGTGAGGTCAAGGCCAAAAAAACCCCAAAAGCAAAGGTCCACCTCAACCAAAGCACTTCATGCTCAACTTCACGCACAGCTCCCGATCCAAACATCCAGTCCCCCTAAGGCAGCTGGGTTCTGTCTCCAGCTTGGCTGCTGAGACGGGGCAAAGACATCGCTGGTATCTGAGAACAGTCCAGCTCCATCCTCTTTGCAACCCTCCTATTCAATCCCCCTCAGTCTTCTCTTCTCCAGTTGCTAGTCCTCCGCGGGTGAACCCGCCTCGCCTGCTTCAGTCCCACTCAGCCACCCCTGCTGCAACCTGTCCCCCATCCTTGTCTCCCGCAGCCTTGCGAATGAGCATCAAAGCCCTGTCCTATGTGGACGGGGACCTCAAAGTCATCCCCGAGCTGAAGAGCCGGACCCTCTACAAGCAGAAGGGCTGGTCGGAAGAAGAGCTGAGGCAGCCCGTGCTGTGGCTGACGGACGGGGAGGCCTGCGCCTGCGAGGAGCTCCACGGCCCGGGCGGCGTGCTGCTGGCCATGGGGCACAGGGTGGCCGACCGCCTGGTCCTGTCCTGGGTGCGGCGGTGGCAGCGGGGGGACAAGGAGCTGAAGAGGTTGAGCCGGGCAGTGAGGAAGCTGCAGTGCTAGAGAGCAGAACGGGTTAGACATAGCCAGGCTGTTCCTGCAGAAGCAGGCCCCCAGCCCCCAGCCATCCTGACAGCCACATGGGTCCAGGATCTCGGCCCGCCGCCCTGCCCACTGGTTCCTCATTCCCGCTTCCT